TCTCACGCGTGTGCAACATTCACGGTCTCACTATTTTTTTAAAAAAAAAATTCACAGTCTCACTATGTATACCTTCTTTCCCTACCCATGTCAAAGTCTTGCCATCTGTCCTAGCGGTTACCAGCGTAGCCCTAAACACCACAAACTCACGCGGTCCTGGGTTCGAGTCCCCAGGCGCACCAATTTTTTGTGCATTTTCCACCCTTCATTTTTTAGACATATTATGTTTTTCTCAATGTAATGCCCTTAAAAAATGTTCATTTATTTTGGCACCTGGCGTAAACCTCTACCAGAGCTGAGGCACATTTTTCATGACATTTTGGTCTTTCATTTAAATCACGGTGTATTTGAATTGGATTAATTAACAACTCCAAAAAAATTCTAACATTAATTGTTTGGCTCCGGAATAATTCAATTAGCTTCCACAAAAAGTTTCAGCATTATGATTTACTGCCTAAATTAAATCAGAATAGAAAACAGAAAAATACGCAAGAAAACCCCTGAATGGGCCTAATTCGATGCAGTTGGCCCATTAGTCTAGCCTGCACTTGGCTCTACGCTCTGAATTTGGCCCAAGAGCAACCTTTTTTTGGACAGAAAGGCAGAGCAGAGAGCTGCATTTCATTGATCAAAAGTTTCTGAATTCCTAATTTCTTCTCTTTTTTTCCAACATATTTAAATGTTGGTCACTTCTTCTCTTTTTGTTTCAACATTTAAACAACTTTAACCAACATTTAAACTAGGTGAATTTCTCAAACAATTTCAAGATTACAAATTCCTTCATAATTCATGCCTTTCCATACATTTTCAACATTACAACCAGTGCGATTACCATACCTACAAATGCCCAAAAGTATTTGCAAATGGGTATTGGTAGTGCTTGATCTTCAAGCTTCCTAACCTTCGTCTTCAACATCCTAAGCTCAATAGCTAGCTCTCTGTCAGTGCGTGCTTCGCCATCCATCTCTTCTTCCGGAGCTCGTGGTGTGGCCACTGCCGTTCGTGGCAACATGCGCAACCATTCTTCATGCTCTTCTTGCAGTTCATTCATCAGAGTCTTGGCCAGAGCATCGACCCAAAGAAAGAAGCATGTCACCTGCATGAACACTAAACAGATCAACCCATTGCTCAAACATCCCGACGACGAAAATGGTGCAATTGCTCCGATTCTTACCCCATTCTCGCTGCACACGTAGAACGGACGATTCTGGTTCCTCGGTGTCTGAGAAACCCTTCGATCAACGCCCGCCCGGCACCGCGGACAGACGAAGACAGGCATGTCCACACGCGCCCGGCTCTGCATCCGCGAGGTGGCGCGGGAGCTTGAGGAAGACATGGAGCTCGGAGCCGAAGGGGATCTCAACGCCGCCGCGCCCTCCACTGCCAGCTTCCCACCGCCGCGCCCTCCACAGCTAGCTTCCCGTCGCCGTGCTCTCTCTCTCGCCGTGGTCACCGCCGTGCTCTCTGTCGCCGTGGTCACCACCGCTGTCGCCCGCTTATATAGCACACCCGCCAACGGCTCTCTGCTCAACGGCTCTTTGTTGGGTCCCACAAGCCACGCGTGCAACGGTCTGAATAAAATTGGCCGTTTCTACCGCCTGGTCCCACCTGTAAGGGCCGAGTCAAAAGGTTGACCTGACGGAGACGACAGAGTTCACGGAACGAGTCGGTGCGCACGGACTAGGGGCAAAACTGAGCACAATTCGCATCTGAGGGCAAAACTGAGCAGATGGACACCACTGAGGGCAAAAGGATAATTAACCCTCCAATAATTGGTATACAGAGCTTCGGTTCGGGCGATCACCGGCGACCATGGCGCTTGTCCCACACGGCGGCGGTGCGGGCGGATCGGCGACGATGGCGATGCCGATGCTGACCGCGGACAACTACACGGTCTGGACCATCAAGGCGCAGGCGATCCTCGACGTCCACATCGTATGGGAGGCGGTGGCGCCGGGCGACGCGGCGGTGAACGCGCGGAAGGACAAGATGGCGTGCGCGTTGCTTCTCGGGGCGTTGATGGAGGATGTGCTGCTGCAGGTGTCAATGAAGCTCACCGCCAGGGAGGTATGGGACTCCCTGAAGGTGAGGTTCGTTGGCGCCGATCGGGTCCGCGCGGCGAGGCTGGGGACGCTGCACGGCGAATTCGACCGGATGAAGATGGCGGACGGCGAGGAGCTCGACATGTACGGCGGGAGGCTCGCGGCGATGGCGGCGAGGTATGCCAACCTCGGGGAGACGCTGGGCGACGCAACACTTGTCAAGAAGTTGCTGGATACGGTGCCGGATCGCCTCTTCCCCGTTGTTGTCGGTATGGAGCAGTTCCATGACGTGACGACGATGGCGTTCGACGAAGCGCTCGGGTGGCTGCGTGCGTTCGACGAGCGGGTTCGGCGCCGTGGACAAGACGGCGGCGAGCGCGGGGGTGAGCAGCTGCTCATGACGGCGGCGCAGTGGGCAGCGCGGGAGCATCGACACGGCGGTGCTCGGGACGACGACGACGGGCGCATCATGGCGTCGGGGAGCGGCGGCAACAGGCGCAGGCGCTGCTACAAGTGCGGGAAGCACGGGCACTTCTGGCGCGAGTGCCCGCAGCTGCGGAAAGGACCGGCGGCGGAGCAGGCTCTCTTGGCCGATGCCAACGTCGACGACGACGAACTCCTCTAAGCCATGGCTTAGGGTGTGTGTGTTGGAATAAGCCACGACATGTATGGTCAGACTCGTCAGGTGCGTGCGGGACGGGCGGGACATACTTGTGTCGTCGGGCTCGTCGGGTTCGTCGGGCGTGTCGGTGACGCGCGGGATGCAGTAGGGACGTGGCGTAGGTGTGCGTGCGTGTGTGACGTAGTGGTAGTAGTCAGTGCATAGATTGTTGATTAGTCCGTGCATGCAACGGATGGATAAGCTACCTACTTGCGTGGGCCGGTCAAGTAAGTTTTTTAGTGCATGGGTGGATTAGTTATGTATGCATGGATTAGTGGCCATGGCCGGGTCATGTGTGCGTGGGCGCTACTCTGCTGTAGGACTACAAAGCACGGTCACGACTGTGTTTGTAAATTCAGTTAGTACTCTGCGAATAGTAACGGAGCTGCGAAACCGGGTGAAACTCCAGTGTACTGTGTGCTCCTCCTTCTATTTTCATCCATCCGTGTGTGAAAGCGGTTCCAACAATTGGTATACAGAGCTTCGGTTCGGGCGATCACCGACGACCATGGCGCTCGTCCCACATGGCGGCGGCGCGGGTGGATCGGCGACGAGGGCGTTGCCGATGCTGACCGCGGACAACTACACGGTCTGGGCCATCAAGGCGCAGGCGATCCTCGACGTCCACACCGTATGGGAGGCGGTGGCACCGGACGATGCGGCGGTGAACGCGCGGAAGGACAAGATGGCGCGCGCGTTGCTTCTCGGGGCGTTGCCGGAGGATGTGCTGCTGCAGGTGTCGATGAAGCTCACCGCCAGGGAGGTATGGGACTCCCTGAAGGTGAGGTTCATTGGCGTCGATCGGGTCCGCGCGACGAGGCTGGGGACGCTGCACGGCAAATTCGACCGGATGAAGATGGCGGACGGCGAGGAGCTCGACGTGTACGGCGGGAGGCTCGCGGCGATGGCGGCGAGGTATGCCAACCTCAGGGAAACGCTGGGCGACGCGGCACTTGTCAAGAAATTGCTGGATATGGTGCCGGATCGCCTCTTCCCCGTCGTCGCCGGCATCGAGCAGTTTCACGACGTGACAACGATGGCGTTCGACGAAGCGCTTGGGCGGCTGCGTGCGTTCGACGAGCGGGTTCGGCGCCGTGGACAAGACGGCGGCGAGCGCGGGGGTGAGCAGCTGCTCATGACGGCGACGCAGTGGGCAGCGCGGGAGCGTCGACACGGCAGTGCTCGGGACGATGACGACGGGCGCAGCGTGGCGTCGGGGAGCGGCGGCAACAGGCGCAGGCGCTGCTACAAGTGCGGGGAGCACGGGCACTTCCGGCGCGAGTGCCCGCAGCTGCGGAAAGGACCGGCGACGGAGCAAGCTCTCTTGGCCGATGCCAACGTTGACTACGACGGACTTTTCTAAGCCGTGGCTTAGAGGGTGTGTGTTGGAATAAGTCACGGCATGTGTGGTTAGACTTGTCGGGTGCGCGCGGAATGGGCGGGACACACTTATGCCGCCGGGCTCGTCAGGTTCGTCGGGCGTGTCGGTGGCGCGCGGGACAGGCAGGACGCAACGGGGACGTGGCATAGGTGTGCGTGCGTGTGTGACGTAGTGGTAGTAGTCAGTGCATACATTGTTGATTAGTTCGTGCATGCAATGGATGGATAAGCTACCTACTTGCGTGGGCCGGTCAAGTAAGTTTTTTAATGCATGGGTGGATTAGTTATGCATGCATGGATTAGTGGCCATGGCCGGGTCATGTGTGCGTGGGCGCTACTCTGCTGTAGGACTACAAAGCACGGTCACGACTGTGTTTGCAAATTCAGTTAGTACTTTGGGAATAGTAACGGGGCTGCGAAATCGGGTAAAATTTCTTCTACCTCCATCCATCCGTGTGAGAGAGCGGTTCCAACAGGCGCGGCGTGCAAAACGTTGCAGCTCTTTCTTTCTGTCTATCTCGTTTCCTCTTATTCTGTTACAAAACGAAAGAGCCTCAAGCATCAGCTTGCAGAGTGTGAGCAATGATCACCGGGACTGCCCTTGCTCCCTGAGAGGGAAGAACATGCATAGGCTGTTGGATTTGGATCCACAGTTAAAGAAAAAAAGATTGTACGAGGAGGGTTTTTGTTTTGTACTTTCTCGAGCTGCCTAAGATACTCAGACGTACGCAGGTCCTTCCAATCTTGTAAATCCCGCTAGCCATTCAAGCTTGGCCTTTTACACACACGTATATCTTGGTTCTCCCGCGCCCGAGCTTATCAGCAAGCGGCGTCTCCGCTTATATACCCCGCCTCCGCGGTTCCGCCTGCTCGGATTGTGGAGACACAGACAACTCGCGTACCATTGTGCATGCGTGATGGGAGCCACCGACGAGCCGGATCCCGACATGGAGAAGCAGCAGCCGCTGCTAGCCGCGGCGGAGGCGGACGAGATCCCGCCGCCGTCCGGCGCCGGCTGCGGCAACTGCAGGTCGTGCTCCTGCGCCTCGCCCACGGCGACGCGGACGCTCTCGCTGGTCGTCCTCGTCGCCGGCGCGCTGTTCGCCGCGCAGCTGAAGGCGCGCGAGGAGTACCTCCTGCTCACGGTGTTCGCGTCGCAGCTGCTCAGCTTCTGCGTGCTCACGTCCCTGCTGGCGCTGTGCGCGCTCCCGGAGGACGGCGCCCGGCAGCGGCTCGCGTGGGCGCGGGCGGCGGCCGCGCAGGTGCTGCTGTGGTCCTTCGCCATGGCGCTCCTGGTGAGCATGTCGCTATGGGTGGCCGGGAGCGCGCCGGTGGCCGTCGGCGCGGCGCTGCTCGGGCTGGCCCTGGCCGTCGTCTTCGCCTGCTACGCCGAGCTCGTGCAGTCCCTCTGGCCTGTGGCGGACTAGCCAGTGACGGATGCCACCGAGGGGCGAGGACCCATTTGCCAGGAATTTCCTACTAGCTAGCCGGGCTTCTGTTAACAAGCCCGTCGTCTCTTTCGGCCTTGGATGAATTGGGCCAGTGTGCTCATACAATGTCGGCCTGAATTAGTCCTGTTTGTACAAGTTGAGGCCCGTTACCCTGTTCTCTCCCCTGCTCGTATGGGAAATGGATTCCCTAAGGAAAAAAAATAAGAAGAATGGTCTGATTCATATGAAATTTCATGTGAATGCCTGTTTACATCGCAGGGAATTAAAAATATAGAACAGAAACAACACATAATTAATATGAAATGTAGTATAAATTTGTATAAAGCATTGACGGCGCCTAGCTCCAACCAGTGGGCCCACCCCTTAGAGGCTTAGACTGAGTTGGCAAATAATGCCACACATTAGAGATGACCCCTCTCCCCTGTTCTCCCTCGTGCATTATGTTCAACACCTTGGGTGCATGTCATCACTTCCTCTATGCCCAGCTCGACTGTGCCTCGTCTCACCAGTAGCAAACATACACCATGCCTGATGACGAGTGTATTTTTACACTCACTATGACAATGCCCGTGCGTTGCTACGGACAAAAGGCAAAAAATGCCTCAAGCACGTTACAACAAAGCATAAAAATTTCTCTTTCTGCATCTCACTTTTTTATCGACCACTGTGATTCCCATGCAGGCTTATGTTTCGAGGATCAAATTGAAGCATCTAACGAAAAGAAACGAATGATATGATACAGGAGTTAGTTGTATACTTTATATTTATCTAAAAAATCATTATAATTGGGTTGATGAACCCCTAGTTTTCTTTAATGTAAAATCTCATAAAAAGTGTAATTGTTATTTGATATCAATAAAGAGAACCATGATGGACTTCCCTAGTAAAAGGTGCAACACTAAGCACAGTTCACTCCAATGCATGCCACAACATCGTACCGCGGAAATTGACCTTAATCAACCTAACAAAAAGGTGTAGGGTGAAAATAAATCCTAATCAGCCTCAAAACAAACATACGTTTTGTTGACGTATAATGTGCTGCTTAGTCTCTTCTATCAGATCGGTCTTTTGGTTGCATTGGCTAGAGCATGCACTTCTACCCAGCTGGCACAATTAAATTGCAGCCCACTTTCGGTCCAAGTTTAGGCCTGAGGGAGCCACACGTGAGGGGAGTGTTGACGTATAATGTGCTGGCTAGTTTCTTTCATCAGATCAGTCTTTTGTTTGCATTGGCTAGAGCATGCACTTCTACATGTCTCGACGATATTGTAAATTTCATCTCGCCACTCAAGGAAGCACGCGACATGATAAAAATGACGAAAGAAATGCATTGTAGTAAATGAATGTGAACCGGGAGAAAGGAGATGTAGAGAATTATTTTATTTTACACACTACACATATTTAAATATCTCATCGCAAAAGTGGCATATCCAATTGTTCCTCAGCTCGCAGTACACGAATGATATTCTTCCAATGTGCATCAATCAGGATTTAGAATAGTTCTTTTGCAAATAAACATGGGCTCTGATGACCCACAAGTATAGGGGATCTATCGTAGTCCTTTCGATAAGTAAGAGTATCGAACCCAACGAGGAGCAGAAGGAAATGATAAGCGGTTTTCAGCAAGGTATTCTCTGCAAGTACTGAAATAAGTGGTAACAGATAGTGTTGTGATAAGATAGATTGTAACGAGCAACAAGTAATAAAAGTAAATAAAGTACAGCAAGGTGGCCCAATCCTTTTGTAGCAAAGGACAAGCCGGAACATACTCTTATAATAGGAAAAGCACTCCCGAGGACACATGGGAATATCGTCAAGCTAGTTTTCATCACGTTCATATGATTCGCGTTCGATACTTTGATAATTTGATATGTGGGTGGACCGGTGCTTGGGTGCTGTTCTTACTTGAACAAGCATCCCACTTATGATTAACCTCTATTGCAAGCATCTGCAACTACAACAAAAGTATTAAGATAAACCTAACCATAGTATGAAACATATGGACCCAAATCAGCCCCTTACGAAGCAACGCATAAACTAGGGTTTAAGCTTCTATCACTCTAGCAACCCATCATCTACTTATTACTTCCCAATGCCTTCCTCTAGGCCCAAATAATGGTGAAGTGTTATGTAGTTGACGTTCACATAACACCACTAGAGGCTAGACAACATACATCTTATCAAAATGTCAAACGAATACCAAATTCACATGACTACTCATAGCAAGACTTCTCCCTTGTCCTCGGGAACGAACGTAATTACTCACAAAGCATATTCATGTTCATAATCAGAGGGGTAATAATATGCATATAGGATCTGACCATGTGATCTTCCACCAATTAAACCAACTAGCATCAACTACAAGGAGTAATCAACACTACCAGCAACCTACTAGCACCAATCTCGGACTTTGAGACAAGAATTGGATACAAGAGATGAACTAGGGTTTGGAGATGAGATGGTGCTGGTGAAGATGTTGATGGAGATTGCCCTCTCCCGATGAGACGAGCGTTGGTGATGACGATAGTGATGATTTCCCCCTCCGGGAGGGAAGTTTCCCCGGCAGAACAGCTCTGCCGAGCTCTAGATGTTGGGGAACGTAGTAATTTCAAAAAAATTCCTACGCACACGCAAAATCATGGTGATGCACAGCAACGAGAGGGGAGAGTGTTGTCTACGTACCCTCGTAGACCGGAAGCGGAAGTGTTATAACAACGCGGTTGATGTAGTCGTACGTCTTCACGGCCCGACCGATCAAGCACCGAAACTACGGCACCTCCGAGTTTTTGCACACGTTCAGCTCGATGACGATCCCCGGACTCCGATCCAGCAAAGTGTCGGGGATGAGTTCCGTCAGCACGACGGCGTGGTGACTATCTTGATGTTCTACCGTCGCAGGGCTTTGCCTAAGCACCGCTACAATATTATCAAGGATTATGGTGGAGGAGGGCACCGCACACGGCTAAGAGATCAATGATCAATTGTTGTGTCTCTGGGGTGCCCCCTGCCCCCGCATATAAAGGAGTGGAGGAGGGGGCTGGCCAAGGAGGGTGGCACACCCAAGGGGGGGAGTCCAACTCCCACCGGGAGTAGGACTCCCCATTTTCCTATTAGGAGTAGGAGAGGGAAGGAAGAGGAAGGAGGGAGGAAGGAAAGGGGGGGCCGGCCCCCCTCCCAATTCGGATTGGGCTTGGGGGGCGCCCCCTCCCTTGCTCCTTTCCCCTCCTTTCCACTAAGGCCCAATAAGGCCCATATACCTCCCGGGGGGTTCCGATAACCTCCCGGTGATCCGGTATTGTCCCAATCTCACCTGGAACCTTTCCGGTGTCCAAATATAGTCGTCCAATATATCAATCTTTATGTCTCGACCATTTCGAGACTCCTCGTCAAGTCCATGATCACATCCGGGACTCCGAACAACCTTCGGTACATCAAAATATATAAACTCATAATGAAACTGTCATTGTAATGTTAAGCGTGCGGACCCTACGGGTTCGAGAACAATGTAGACATGACCGAGACACGTCTCCGGTCAATAACCAATAGCGGAACCTGGATGCTCATATTGGCTCCTACATATTCTACGAAGATCTTTATCGGTCAGACCGCATAACAACATACGTTGTTCCCTTTGTCATCGGTATGTTACTTGCCCGAGATTCGATCGTCGGTATCTCAATACCTAGTTCAATCTCATTACCGGCAAGTCTCTTTACTCGTTCCCTTATACATCATCTTGCAACTAACTTATTAGTTGCATTGCTTGCAAGGCTTAAGTGATGTGCATTACCGAGAGGGCCCAGAGATACCTCTCCGATAATCGGAGCGACAAATCCTAATCTCGAAATACGCCAACCCAACATGTACCTTTGGAGACACCTATAGAGCACCTTTATAATCACCCAGTTACGTTGTGACATTTGGTAGCACACAAAGTGTTCCTCCGGTAAATGGGAGTTGTATAATCTCATAGTCATAGGAACATGTATATGTCATGAAGAAAGCAATAGCAACATACTAAACGATCGGGTGCTAAGCTAATGGAATGGGTCATGTCAATCACATCATTCTCCTAATGATGTGATCCCGTTAATCAAATGACAACTCATGTCTGTGGTTAGGAAACATAACCATCTTTGATTAACGAGCTAGTCAAGTAGAGGCATACTAGTGACACTTTGTTTGCCTATGTATTCACACAAGTATTACGTTTCCGGTTAATACAATTCTAGCATGAATAATAAACATTTATCATGATATAAGGAAATAAATAATAACTTCATTATTGCCTCTAGGGCATATTTCCTTCAGTCTCCCACTTGCACTACAGTCAATAATCTAGATTACACAGTAATGATTCTAACACCCATGGAGCCTTGGTGCTGATCATGTTTTGCTCGTGGAAGAGGCTTAGTCAATGGGTCTGCTACATTCAGATCCGTATGTATCTTGCAAATCTCTATGTCTCCCACCTGGACTAGATCCCGGATGGAATTGAAGCGTCTCTTGATGTGCTTGGTTCTCTTGTGAAATATGGATTCCTTTGCCAAGGCAATTGCACCAGTATTGTCACAAAAGATTTTCATTGGACCCGATGCACTAGGTATGACACCTAGATCGGATATGAACTCCTTCATCCAGACTCCTTCATTTGCTACTTGCGAAGGAGCTATGTACTCCGCTTCGCATGTAGATCCCACCATGATGCTTTGTTTAGAACTGCACCAACTGACAACTCCACCGTTTAATGTAAATACGTATCCGATTTGCGATTTAGAATCGTCCGGATCAGTGTCAAAGCTTGCATCAATGTAACCATTTACGATGAGCTCTTTGTCACCTCCATATACGAGAAACATATCCTTAGTCCTTTTCAGGTATTTCAGGATGTTCTTGATTGCTGTCCAGTGATCCACTCCTGGATTACTTTGGTACCTCCCTGCTAGACTTATAGCAAGGCACACATCAGGTCTGGT